ATATTTTAGGCCACTGAAGGTGTTTTCTTGGCAGGGATGAGGCTGCCAGAAATCATATCTGTTGTTGTGCTCCCTGGAGGGTTTTCACATCACCCAGCAAACCCCTGAGCACATGGAGGTGCCTGCTCAGAGCAGGCAGCCTGGGCAGAGAGCAGATCGGGCAAGACAGCGAGAAAGAGATACCTGCTGCTGATGTGTGTGAGAAGTGACTGTCACCAGCTGGAACCTTCTGATCCTGGCAGTGTGCATTGCTGGAAAGCAGCTGAAGGGGATCCTGACTGCTGCCAGTAAGAGCCAGCTGCCTTTAAACTTTGCCCTAAACTTTCTCCTTGAATGAACTCTGTGTCCCTGTGATCTTTAACTGGCAGGGTGAAATTGGCTGAAATTTTAAGTGGCTTGAGATGCCAGTGACAGCTTTAAAAAATGAAAAAATAAAAAAGGGGAAGAAGAAAGAAAGCTTATTTGGTTGTTCTGGTACTCTCAAGTATTCACTTCTGCTTCACTGTGATTGACAGGTCTTGTTTTGGGCTGTGGGCTGCTCTCCTTCCTTTGAGGGCAAAGAAGGGAGAGATGTTCACTGCAGGGGTGAGTAAACTGACCTTATTTTGGTGAGGTGCTGGTCACAAGGGTTTACTAGAGAAGAAATCTTCAAAGTCTTGGGACAGCAAATGATGACATTAGTTTGAATTATTACCTGTTCTTTGTGCAACAGTGTGCACTGTGTCTTGGACTGAGACAGTCTCCTGCAGGAGGCAGAGCTCTGCATCTGACAGCAGGCACTTTGCACTTGGAAGGCTTGGAACCTGGAAATGCTCCTGTTTCCTGGGAATTCAGGGACCTGGGTTTGGGAGTTTACCTCTCCAAAGACCTGGGAATAGAAGGCTGTAACTCTGCTGACTCCAGTCCCTTATCTCTGATGTCCCTGAGTTCTGCAGAGCCTGACCGTGCATCCAGACCTGTTGCAGGCTGCAGCAACTCCAAGGTTAGACACGGTGTGGATACCTTGATCTCTGTCTTCTCTGGTGGCAGGTTTGAAAGACCACTTTAACCCCTCTTTCTCCTCGTCAGCCTTTCAAGGGAAACTCTTGGTTTCCCCACATCACTTGTGAGATGCCTCAGGTTTCTGTGTCAACACTGCACAGTAGGACAGTGGGTGTAAATAAGATGGTGAGAATAGGAGCTGTTTCTGTAGTGTGTCCTTAAGAATCAGCAGACCTACTGATACCTCAAGTACCATTAGTTCTTGATTGGGGCATGCTGAGCTTGTCAGAGGAGCCATCTGCCACCTCATTCTGTGTGTATTTATTTATTTATTAGTAATGTGAATCCCAGCACCTCACATGGAAGAACTGTAAGGGGAACGATGATTTTTATTCAGCTTTGCAGAAGATATTACAAAAAGGGATGGTTTAACTTCTCTTGTTGACTATTTCTCCTGATACTCTGCATCATGTTGTATTCCCCTTTATATTGTGTTCACTGACTGGTTTCTGACTAATATGTCTTGATATTTGCTACTCAAAGTGACATACAAAGAAGCTGTCATCACCAGCTGTGCAGAAGACATCTGAGAAAATCAACACTAAGTACTAAGAAGGAAATGAAAATGTCTTTTCTGCCCTGCTAAATTTGACTTTTGGTTCTGGTTTTTTTTGCCATCTTTCTCTCTTGGCTCAACATGCTTGGCTACTCTGAAAGAGAAATACTTTGCTGGCTGCCTCTTGCCTGATCTCCAGGTGCAGGGGCCAATGCCCAGTTTCCTGCAATGCAGAAATAAGTCAGCTGATTACATTTCTGATGCCTTTTTGAAACCTGTGATCTTCAGGCTCTCCTCATATTTAAGGTATCATATAGGTTACTTCTGTGTCTGAATGGTTTAGATTGGAAAATAAATGTTCAGCCCTCATCATGAATAATTTACTGTTCTCTTAAGAGGGGAGAATAGGAAGTAAGCTATTACCATAAAAAAATTTTTACTGCAATTTTCCTCTCATAAGCTTAAATTCTGTGTAGAGAGGTTGTCAATTAGTGTGCAGATTTTTTTAATTGGCTATAATAAAAAGCTAATTGGTGTTTTGCTTAAAGAGTGAATTAAGAAAGTGTTGCTATAGAAACTTTACATGTGTATAGTGCTGCTCTACATAACAGTAGATATAATAGTCTAATGACCTTTCTGAGCCAGCTGTAAAGTCAAAGAAAATGTGTTAAATTCAGGCTGGCTGCAGAGATCATTAAGGGGTTTGTGACTTCACTCATTTCATTGCCAGAAAGTGTCTCTGGCATTGTCTCATAGAATGTTTCTTTGACTCATGTCAAGCCATATAACAAATGCTGGTCTGAAAAGACCTGAACTTTTGTAAAATCCAAGTGCTCCAATTGTGAATGTGTAAACTGATCTGTAATCTGTCAAGCATAAAATGTACTACTGGGAAAAATTCATTTTCATAATCTGAGAAAATGTGATGATGGATCGAAAGTGGCAACATCTAATCCTAGAGCTGTTCTATCCTTGTATCCCTCCTTCCTCTCCCTGCCCTCTCTACCCACTGAATTCTGAGCCTCATGTGAAACACAGGAATTACAGTTTTAAGTGAAATGGGATTTCTGCTCTAATTTGCAATATTCTCTCCTAGCAAGAAATACTTTCCTTCTCAAGTATAAACTTCGTTGAGGAGAGAACAATTTCTTCAGGATTTGTGTACAGGAATTTTTTTCCTCAGGCTTCCCTACTGAAATTACTTCAGAGTCGTTATATGTACCTTTGCTAGCTGCATAAAAGTTATATATAGGTGGCATGGATGAACATAGTCATTACTGCCAAGGAAGGTGGTCACTAATGAAATAAATGGCTCTGGCTGGTGAAACTGAAACATGACCTTTTACTTTCAGTTCCCTGAATCTTGTGTTACTATGTCAACAAATTGTTTTGCTCCTTTTTAACTGTATATCTAGAAGTTGTAGGGGTGTGAGAGCCTGCAGTTATTAGACATGGTGACAGAAAAAACTTAAAATGTTCTGCATGTCCAAATGTGAGAGACAGGACAAAGCTATAATCTGTCAATGTTTCTTGGAATTGTTCACTGTGGAGTTTTTTTCCCCACTGATTTTCAACTAAATATTTAAACAAAACAACTGCCATTCTGTGTCTGCTGAATTTGCCCCTGCACTTGGTCTTCAAACTGGTAAAGCACAACCATGTTAGAGTGATTAGTGTATGATTTGACTTTTTTTTGCCCCCTCACTTCTTTTCATCTCCAGTAGACACCTTAAAAAAAATCATCTAAGTGGATGAATTTAGGAGAATCTCTCAGAATTCAGTGGAATTATACAGACAGTTTCTTTCTGTACCTCTGGGTCAGGACTGAGTAGTGTCATAACTTAGCAGCTATTCTTCCCTTGATGCACATATGTAAGCCCTATTAGTGTTAATGCCTTTTTGAAATGCTTCCCTCATATATTCAATATCTACTACTGTGTCCAAACTCTGAAGTCTTATGAGTTGCATGGCATGTGACTGTCTCTAGAGCTTAATAGAAAGTTGGATTTAATCTCATAGTTCATCTTTTGAGCAGTAAAACTGTAAGAAAGATAAAATGTTGTAACGTGAAGCTTTTATCTGAGACCTGTGAGCAAATACTTTTTTTTTTCCTGGTCCAGGGAAAAGACAGGGGTTTTTTTGTATTTTTATCCAGCTTCCTTTTGTCTGTCCAGTCAGACCATGATTGTAAGATGTACTTACAGGAGCTGTATAGTCTAGAGGTGTTGTTTTACAGAAGAGTAATACAATATTGTATTGTTAAGGAAATGTGATTTTTGGAACCCAGTAAATCGATCCTTCAGTTAAAATTTTTTGCTGCTTTGCTGCAGTGCATTTTCAACTGCCTTTGTGAAGAGGGGACTGGGTTTTTGAGAGGCAAAACATTAATTTTCTTTAGGACTGGTATTTTTCTCGTAGTTTTACTTGGCTGTACAAAGCTTTGTGCATCCCAATCCAACATTACTATTCCTGCTTTAACTGTAAAATCAGTAAAATTTATATTAAAGCAAAGTGTCTGGGAGATGGAACTCCTGCTAGTTCAGTGTGTTATTTGTTTATTTGGATTAGTGCTGGTTGTGCTATGAAATGGAGTAATGGAGGAGCTGGGTGGGTTCTGCATTCTGCACATTGAAAAGAAATCACAGAATCAATGAGCTTGGAAAAGACCTCTGAGGTCCAACACCACTGAGTGAACCAAACCTTGGCACCGAGTGCCACAGTCTTTCCGTAAACACTCATGGTGCATTTATATTTTTATTTTTTTTAAATTACTTCTTTACTGATATGGTTGTGTTTACAGAAAGTTATGACAAAAGTTGGTTGCTCTTGGTCCTTTTCCCTCTTTGTTTCATAATTTATGGAGTGCAGCCATGGAAGCTTGCTTATTAGTGGAGCAATCTGTGGACTCTTTATAACAGGCCTTGGTTACGACTGAACTTCAGTGATATGCACTGAGGGTGTTTAAATGTGTACTGAGCTACCTTGTTTTGCTTAAGGAAGGAACACGTTGACAACTGAATTCCATTAAAGGAGGGAGATTTATATGGGTGATAATGAGGTTGCTGCAGGGAAATAGGTGAAATATTGAAATGGTCATAATATCAGTGTTGTTTGTTTGTTGTAATAAGAACACTTCCTGTTTCCTGATGGATAGCAAAGGCAGTTGTTTGTTGTCCAGTATTTTGTGGTATAGCAGAAGTACCACCACAAATTCCCTGCTGAAGAGTCAGACCTTGCTCCAGATACAAGGACATTGATTTTAGCATTTTAGGCAGAGATTTTGTTTCTCTAAGTAAGAAAAAATATTTCCTAAGTACCATCATGCTTCAAAATATGTTCTACTTTGCTATAGTGTCAGGAAAATGCATCTTCTATTTATATTTACAATTTGCATCATTGCAAATGATTAGTTTTCTGTTTCAATGAGTGGTATTATAAAATGTGGTGTATCCCTCTTTTGCAGAGAATTAGTGTAGAGGCCAGATTGAAAATATGCCTTCGTGACAAAGTCTCTACAAAGCTGATCCCATCTTGGCTTTAAGGTAAATGAAATAAACCTCTTCTAACTTTTCTTCTCATCATGGTTGTTATTCAGCTTGGAAGAAGTGTGAGACTATCATGTACTCAGAATTTAAAAAAAAGTATTTTAAGGAGTTAAGTTGCAAAACTTAAAATTTAGTCAAAATAAAGTGTAAGCATAAGCCAGTAATTTGAGTATGGCTTCAGTAATTAAAAGAAGTGACAGACAGTGGCATGAATGCTTATGTGTCTTACATACTGCCTTGGTAACTGTCTGGTTTTGTCTGCTAATTGAATATGCATATGAAGGAGAGATCATTCTAATTGAATGGAAAATATGAAATTAAAAAGGCAACAAAGTATAAATAATTGAAAATCAGGTTGCAGCTCTGAGCTTCTGTATGTCGGGAGCTCAGTTGCAAACAAAATTGGTCGAATGGTAATTCACATTTTTCTTGCTCTTAATTTTCCTTTCATGGTACCATACTCCTGGTATAGGGAGCAAGGCAGTGAAAATGATAAAGGGGTAATTAAATATCTGTAGGAAAGTAAGAGCCAAACCAGAGACTAATTTTCAGCACTCTACAGCTTTCATTATGTATGTATATGCTTTGATTTCTCGTGTATATGGAAAATGTATCCTCTAACTGCATATTTTTAGCCTTTCTCCTCTAGAATTGTTTAACTTGCTGTGGCAAGCTTCTTTTGTTTGTGAAATCATTGCAGAAAAGTCTTATTTAAAAAACTTCATGAACAGTTAGTTACCTGTGAGTTCAGCTAAGTATTTTTAATCTCAACTAAGTGTCCTTTATCATGATTTTAATGTTTAGCATGTCTTGTTCATTAATTGAAATCACTCAGAATGGGTAATTTTCAGTGTTTGGAACATTTTGATTCTACATGCCCTGCTCTAGATGCCTGTGTATGAAGGCACCAGTGAGATTGCTGTACCCAAAAAGTTTTATTTTCAAGCAAAACTTGCCCCAAATTTAACCAATTCACACAGACATCATAGAAACCATGTGCCACTTCCTATCCCAGTATTGGGGTTGTGATACTGGCACAAGCCATAGACCCACATCCCAGGAGCACAGTAAATTGGAAATATTCTCTGCCAGGGTTTGTTCAATTGTGGATTTGGTTTAAAGGCCCATGATTTGCACTTAAATTTCAGGTACTTCTAGAACCAAATTGGATTCAATAGTTGTTGGTTATTTGATGGCAGCAGAAGGTGGTGTGTGAGTGGACTTATGCTGAAAGAGCTGTGTCCTCCCCCCTGGGACACTTGGGCTGCTGTGTGAGGAGCTGAGTGAGAGCTGCTCTGGCTGAACCAACCTGGGCTGGGAGGAGAGGAATCTTCCCCTTCATTTTCCCTGCCCAGCTCTGTTTGTGATGAAGGACTGCCCTGCTGGTGCCTGCCAGTGGAACTGATCCTGGGGCTTGAGAATGACAGAGAGACAAGTGCTCCCAGAGCTGGGGTGTGTTTGAACTGACACTAAGGACTGGATCAGTACCTCCAGTGGCTGAAGTACTGCTTTGTTTCCCTGGAATAAGTTAAAGATAGCACAGTTCTGCTTCTGAGATAAATTGTTTTTTATTTATCTTGACATAGTTTAGAACAGCACTTCCTCATGGTGAATGCCATTCTTCCGGGTTTAAAAAAACTGTCATCTGTTATTACAAATTCAGAGGGCACTTTAGTACTGTCAGCATGAGATCATTATTGTCTAATAATATTAGATGTCCATTAATGTCAACTTTTAACAGAACCCTCTTCCTAATGCAGCCATACCTTCCAGTCCTGCTGTAGCTTTCCTACAAAGCAATTATCTGAGTTGTGTGAATTGGCTAAAACCTATCAGCTATTAAAACTCAGAACGTTGCTTCTGCTTGGAAAGAAAGTCATGTTGCTTAACTTCCCCCTCCCCTTCATCCATCTCCGAGTGTGGGAGCCTGTGTGAGGGAGAAAAGAAAAGGAGCCTGATGGTGCTTAATGGCTGATGAATAAAGCCAAGGATACAGGAACGGTTGCCTGGCAACCTGGCAGGATGGGCTGAGGTCCCTTGTCACTGCATAGGAGTTGACACTGGCTCATCTCTTGAGCTCATGGAGACAGATTTATGAGGGTTTGCAGACTTTATCCTCTATATGTATCGTGGCTGGGTTAGATTTGTATCTTAGGTGTTTTGTCTCTGTGTATTTCATACTTCTAAAAAGAAACACAAGAGGAATAGAAGCAAATCAACCATTGTACTTGAAGGAAGAAAACGTGTGCTTCCTGTCCCATGCAGTTATTGTGCTTTCAAGATGAGAGCCATGTCTAGGAAGAGATTTGCCTACAATTGAGAGCTCTTAGACCTAATTCCATATAATGTTCTGTTTTCTTAGTCTGAGAGCCTTCTGGAAATTATCATTAGTGCTAAAAGACAATGATCTGGAATTTGTGTTATAATTGCAGCTCTGAGAAGAAGCCTTTTTGTGGTTAAACACAGCTCTGAAGTGACACATCTGCTTTGTTTCCCTTCTTACACAGAAATAAAGTCAGGCTGAGAACACACTGAGAGCTCTGACAGACTTGACCTTGTACAAGTTGTTCCTAAACAATTCAAATGGATCTTGAACACAGGTGTCAGCACGAGGGGTGGATCTCTCTTTGTGCTGCAGTAGGGTTGTAGGTAGGTGATGTTTCCTTAGGGATGTGGTGTTAATCTGGTATTCCCTAGAAGACTTTTGAGAAAGTACATGGACATCACCCCATGAATGTTGTTGTCATCAAGTGAATATTGATCCAGTAACTATTTTTCTTTTATATGGAAATAATTGTTAAGGAAGAAGGTGCAACTGGCTTACAGAGGCTGCAGTGTATTTTGAACATTTCAAGAGACAGTAATTTTCTTTGCTGCCTAATGATGAGGTCAAAGCTGTGGAAAACAGGTTGGGTTCTTAATTTGAACTGTTGGACAAAAGATCTACCTGGCAATTTTGTGCCCATTTCTTACAGCAGGCAAAAGTGAGGTTAAAGTGTGTGTATATCTACAATTGTATCATCTTGGGGATTCTTAAACAAAAAAATCAAACACTTCTCTCTTACTGGTAAGAGCAATTGTCATTTGCCAAATGCTTGCTTCCCCTTTTTCTTGTTAAGTTCAAGCTTTTTGTTAATAGTAGTTCTTACAGCTGAAACTGCAGAGTGTTTTGCCATAGTGTGAGACCTGACTAGCTGTCAAAAAACACTGTTTGCATGGAAATATATTGATAGAATTTGCAAAGAAATCCATGAAATTTACTGCAAGCTTTGTAATTATCAGACTTGGAATAATAGTCTGATTTTTATCAGTGTTTTCAACTAACTTTTTTTTTTTCTGCACAGTCCATTCTCCCTCTCTGTCCCCAAGCAAACACACAGAGGGCAGACAGCAGCAGCAGCCAGCTGTGTGGAACTGCTTCCTTATAACTGGAGATCCTCAGAAAATCAGGTGAAAGGTTTGAAAAGTTTCAGTTTGGATAGCCAAAGCCTTGAGGCCGTTGTCATTAACAAAAATGATCTTTCTCCTTCTTTCTCTTGCAGGCTGCAGCTCTGACTTACTATTTATCTTTTTAATGGTTTATACTTGTATTACAAGCCCTGAGTTTGCTACAGGGTATTGAGAAATGTTTCGTAGCTCATGATGATTCATGGGGAAGTTTGGATAAACTGCTCTGGACTGGTAACTCGTATTCTTTAGGGCAACCTTGGTCTGGGGCAAGATTGCTCTTTTTCATCATCTGCACGTGTAATTGTCTGTGGATAGAATGGTATTAACACAAATTTAACCACTAGCATCGAGAGAGCTTCAACTGCACTGGTGCTACAGAAACTTTGGACCCAAAGCCTCGAAGCTGTGCTTTAGTTTGCTGTATCAGTGAAGGAAAATATTAAAATTTTAAGATGAAAATGTGTTCATGTCAAAGGTGTCCAAATTGCTGGCTGCTTAGACCCCTAGAGCAGATTCTAAGATAGCAAAATACCTTAAAAATACTTATAATTGAACCAAGAGAATAAGTAAGCTTTTTTTTTTTTTTTTTTTTTTTTTTAACTGTGGGCAGTTTGTATTACTCTCTGTCTGTACCATGCATTTCTGTTGCAAAAAGCATGATCAACTTCTGTCATGTTACCAGAGATGTTCTTTTATTTGCAATTCAGATGGAATAATTTTAAACTTTAAATCGTTGTTGTCCATCTTTATGGAATGTGAGTGGAGTTTATTAAATGCTTTCAGCATTCTGTTGAAATGCCTGCTGCTGTCTTAGGAAATTTCAGTATTCCTGATCTGTTAAAACATGGGTTACATTGAAATGTTGGTTAAGAAAACTTAAACTATGATGCTTTAAATCAGCTAGTTTTTACACTTTCAACTTACTTTTGCAAGGATTTTAATCTTCTCTTACTGACCCATATTGTAGTAATTTCTGTTGGGCTGCTTAATTTCTTAGGGGACTGAAGCACAGAAAGTCATGCAAAGTTCAACACAGAGCAGGCAAGAATTAAAATTTACCTTTTTTGTGTGTACCATGAGCACTGTAGGAAAGTGAGATTCTGATTTCTTAATTATGGAGACAAAATTAACTTCTTATCCTTCATTTTGGATTCTGTGCTGTTTTGTGTTACATAATATCCTGTCCATTTGGGATATAGAAACAATTTATTGGTTACAGCATATGATCCAACAGGAAAAAAAAGGGTCATGGCTGATGCATTTTAGATCTAATTTCCTATGTTGCTTCTGTATTTAAAAAGTCCATGTGAAAATATAGGAAGCAATGCAATAACTGCATACAAGTAAGTACCAAGCCAACAGCTGTGTTTTCTAAGAGTACAACACTACAACTGGAATTGGGAAATATAAAACTTTATTGTGGATTTGGGGAGAAATTGAAAACAGTGCTAATCTAAAAATAATTTGTCTTTTTTTTTTCCCTCTCAGTTGGGGAGAATAAGATTTTGCTGCCTTTACTCTCTCTGGAAAAATAGAGCTCCTTCTGCTTTTTAGCAGTACTGCAAAGCTGATTCAGAGATGCAAACAACAATGAAGAGTGTTATTCCACACTAGAAAGGCTTTGTATGGGGAGTTACTTATGGTAAATAATTGATCTAACAGCTAGTTTGGAAAAAAGGAGGAATTTATTCCGTCTGGAGCACAACTCGGATGCAGAGATTGTGCTGGGCCAGAACCTTGGCCTCACTTTGTGTAGTCCCAGTGCCTGCCCAGCTGATCTTGCAGCCTGGTGGTTAAAAACAATGAAATGTGCTTTGTGCAGACTGAGGAGCTGTGCTGCATCTGCAGGGGGCTGTCAGCAGGTGTGATGGAGAGCAGGAGATGGGGCAGGGAGCTGTGCTCCCCTTGCAGCTGCCAGCAGCAAGGAAAGCGTCTTGTCCCCCTGTAGGGGCTGATAAACGTTTTTTAGACATCAGGAAACAGAGAAGGAGCAGGAAATACTGGAGACCTTCCTACAGTTGTGATGTCACGATGATATTTTGCCTTTTCTTTTACATATATCTCTTATGTATTCTCAGTACTCTTAGCATGCATACTTGTAATTCCTTAAATCTGGTATTTTAGCACAGTTCTGGTATTCTGTTAGGCCAGAAGACCAA